AGGGATCAACAAGGGGCAAATCAACATCGGACTCAAACAATCACCTTGGACCTTGGAAGATACGTATCCTTATCCACCAACCTTAAAACGTAAAACTGCGGTTGCCAACGCGCTTGCCAAGCTTAGCCACTATGGCCAAGTTCCCCCCCATGAGCAATGACACAAAGAAACTGCCCCCAGTCCACAGCGGCCCTACGAATCCTGGCTAGGGTGGCGACCATGATATCGGCGGGGCAGGGGTTCTAAGAATCTTCGGCGGAGGTTCGGTAGCCCCACCTAAGACAACTCCACTTGGCAACATTCAATTCCCGCATCCTGAGGACAGGTGAGAATTTGTTGCAGCTGGAAGAAGAGATAGACTAGTTGTGCTGGGTAACCGAAATAGCCCAACGGATTTGTAAGCTAAAGTGGCAATGGGCCGGCCATACCATTTGAAAAACCGACCACCGATAGGGAACAAAAAAGTTAGAGTGGCAACCTCGTACCGGTAAACGAAATGTAGAGCCCACCTGGTAAGATATGCAACTGATCGATAGATGCTAGTAGCTCAGGACCGTGCTTTGTGGCATTCCTTAGAGGAGGCCTATGTGAACATAGATGTAACTTCGCAAGTTTGTAACTTATGAAGTGGGCTATAATGTTAATCCTTATTCGGGTTTCCGCATTCTTTTATATAAGAGGGGGCAACGAGCATGCGGCTCACCTGATGTTAAGTGACTACCGCCGCCCATGATCAACCGCAACACCAGAGGAATTGCAAGTGCGTTGCCGGCCCTTTAATCATCATCGGCTCGCCTAGACGACAAAAGCCATACACTACTCGAAGAAGTTTATTTTTTTTTTTTAGGAGAGGGGGCAAACGAGCATACGGTTCACCTGATGGTAAGTGATTACCGCCGCCCATGAACAACACAGATAAATACAATTACAGATCGAGTTCTTTAGCCATGAATGAGGCACCGAGTCGAATGCCTTCCTATAGTATTTCCTACAGTATAAAGAAAGTTCGACGGTTGCGCTCATCCATCTTGCCAATGTTCCGCGAAACCAAAGCGACGTGTATTCTGAACGCGCGACATCGTTCGATTCTAGTGATTCTCGCGCAGAAAATGGTTGTCACTTGTCAGTGTCTTATAAATGTTGCGTAGGCACGTGATAGAGAGGTAACTCGGGTTTGCGGTATTCTGGACTTTAGAAACCTAACTAGTGATCCCAGTGGTGAAAAGGCTCAGGAGTAACGTTTATTTCAGAGCTTTCTTGAACTGTTGGGCGAGAACACTGTGTTAATTATTATATTATTAACAATACTTGTGGCGGCTGTGTTTAAAAAAAACAACATTAAGTATATTTTAATAAGATATTTATTTCAAGATTTTATAAAAAACACTACGTGTGTTTTAACGACAGGTGTCGCGAATACTTGTTTTACTAGATGTAATATAACACTTTATTGCACGTGTTAAACAAACATATCATATAACTGATCACCAGTGATGCTATAAAGTAATAAAATTGTTATTAAAGTAATATCCCCAACATAAAATATAGGTACCTACGTCCCTATAACTTAAATTGGTTTTATAAAGCTGGCCTTATATAAATATTAGCTCAGTATAAATTTATACAACTCATCATCAGTTTTCACTACAAATTCATAAAAGCAAATAATTTTACTAACATAGCGTTTTATTTACTTTGGAACTAGTTGAACTATTTATATACCATAGATACATTATAAGAAATCATTATAGGTACATAAATTTTCCGAGCTTAACAATAATAAATAGGAATAAGTTAATATGTTTCACAATGAAATAAACAAGAAGATATGTTACCTACTACATTCCTGGTAGGTACTTTACGTTAACTACATAAAAATAATATTCCGACCTACCCGTAACTCCAAGATTTTAAATGAACGAATTTTAGATGTACGTTAACGTTCTATTAGCGTTAGGGACGTTGATAATTTTCTAAATTGTTGATATAATCTTTTAATAGATAATTGCCTAAATTTTGACCCCGAATTCGTGTCTGCACTACACTAATAAAATGATATGCAAATTCCATGATCTTATTACAAACGAAACAAAATATGTTGATAGACAACCATTTTTATGTATTCATGTTATTCTAATATATCACCATGTTATGCCATATCATACAAAGGTCGAAATAAGAATGTTGGCGTTTATATCTTTTGTCCTGTAGATATGACAAAAAAACGAGCGCTATTGTTAAAATAGCCCGATTATGAATACAGTTTAATTCTGTAAGTACTGTGCAATTCCGGGAACTGACTATACCAGAAATCCGTAGTTACTTTGTATGTATTTGTTCGGTTATTGTTTTATATTATCGAACTAATCCTTTTTTTAAATTTGTAAAACACTACGACAACACAAAGTCCTGATGCGCATGTACTCTAGTACCTATCAATTACATCCATCCCTATCTTGTTACAGTGCAACTCTTTCTGCTTTCATGATCACATGGAACTCAATATCATACGATCAATTTCTAATTGTTTTCTTGTCCTGTAATTAGAATGTCGTACCCTATCGTCTGCACGCGACTTTTCCTTTTCTTTCGGCCCTTATAAGTCTACTGCTGAAAGTAAGCGCTACTCCCTATATGAAACCCACTATATAGATAGTACCAAATACGTATAAAACTCATATTTTGGCGCTTCATCAAGGCGGCCAGAGCAGCCGCAAGAAATGTAGGTAACTTGCAAAGGTGCGGCGGCACTTCGTTCTTGCAGCGATTCATGGAATACCTACTACTAACACACATACGGGTTGATGCTGCAAAATGTTTGTCTGGCAGCATTATACTCAATGGAGGCATGCTAGAAACCTTACTGGTGACCTAGATTTATTATAAACCAATGTTGTCAACCTCATGCGCAGGCGCAAAATTACCAGCCTCTCGGTGTTGTACTGGAATTCCGGAGCATGCACAGGAAATTACATGATTTACTTCCTCTTTCCCCTTTCCATCATCGGACAACCAGACGGTCGACGGCTTTTGTTGTCGATATACTACGTATTCTAAACAATTAGTTTGGTTCGTCTATCGTTATGCGTACATCAAGAGTGGAGTAATTTGCCAGTGTCAGTCTATCCGTAATAATAGTCACCACATAATAGTTTATCAACCATCTATTTGAAACATTTAATCTTTTTTACTTTTCTATTGGTGGTCTCTTACGAATATTCAAGAAAAGAAAAGAAAGAGGTAATGGGGACTCGAACAACACCTAAGGAAAGAAAGAAATGAGATTCTCTTACGCCGCCACCGCACGACACATAGAATTCAAGGATAAAATATTAATAATTAAATTAAAAAAATATAATATACTGATTATAAATTTAATGTGAAGATAATGATTTCTTATATTTACGCGATTCCTACACTTTTAAATAATTCAACCCCCCCCCCCCCCTACTACTATACTACTACTTACCATCACAGTAGACATTTCATCTCATTTTCACCCCTTTTTATAGAATAAAATTCTTCTTCTTATATATATATTGGAGATTGGATTTGGCGTTTGAAGTTCATAGAAAAATAACAAAATAAATATTTAAAAACTATTTACTACTACCCGCTACTTCGCCCGTTTGGAATTTATTACGAGTGGATTTCATGGTTCCACGCTCGCATGCACGCACGCTCAAACTAAAGTTTGAGCGTGCATGCGTGCGAGCGTGGATACGTAATCCTTTTTCGCCAGTGAAGATCCCGTCAAATCGGTCAAGCCGTTTTGGGAGATTAGCCGGAACGTACAGTCAGTCAGAAATACAGACAAATGTCAAAAATTATTTTTGTTGTTTTCGTCAAATAAGTGCCATATTATACTTTCATATGCATTTGGTAAAAAGCTGTTATTTTGAAGTACAAACTTCAATTTTAAATAATTATTTAGATTGTGTTAGTACCTAATGCTGATGCGGAAATGTTTTTGATAATTTTAATTATTTCTCTCCAAAGTGTTCTAAAACTATTTGTTGAATATATAGGTAAACACTTACGAAAACATTTGAAAAGCTTTTATCGGTTGGTGCGTATACTCATAACTATGCGGACGGTCGTCTCCAACCCCAATCTCCTTGGTATGCGACCCATCGTGTCTACCTATCCATAATGACTCATCCTACCTGAGCTCTTTATAAGCTCCCGATATAGTACAAAAAAGTTATAAGTAAAAACAAAAGCGTGACGTAAAAACGTACGTTTAAATGAATTCTGCAGTTGCTGTCTATAAAGAAAAAATGCTTTTGAACCGAAATATAGGTATTAAAAAATTATTGATTTTTTTTAACTTTATGTAAAATGTTAAAAAATGTGTCGTATTAATATTAAGGATATAAAGATATTGTAGTAATAAATAAATAACAGATGCCCTGTGGTTTTTTGTGAAACAACGTTTCTGTAGACACATTGAAAATATGTTTATTTATTTATGTTTAATGAAATTGACAGATTTATATTTAAAAAGCAAAATATAAAATGTTTTTCACGTAATTTCTAGCGGATGCCAACTGTAAATACGAATATTCGCATTGCTATAGATACCACATATATGCACTAATTATAGGTAGTTCTATATATAGTACTAATATAATATATGTTATCGCAAATTGGATATTTAAATTTTCAAAACCGTAAAAACAAAATCAACATTCGCTAAAAAATATAAATTTTTTGGATATTTTTATATTAAAGTTTTTGTATTAATTCATTTGGCATTATAACATATTATATATTATTATAGATTCCATTAATATTAACAAATGGTAAGATTTGCCTTATTTTTTTTTCTATTTTCTATTACGTTGACGTTAAAATACCAATATAACACAATTATTCGAACATTCTCTTCTTTGATATTGGAACTACGCTTATATACATTAATACATATTTTGTTAATATATTACTTGATATTGCAAGTTATTTAATTTTCATACAATTTATTAAAGATAGGTACTCACTTTTACTTTGGAATGTCATTATCAAATCGCTTTCATCGATAGCTTGCTGTTCTTCACCACTTAAAGCCATTTCAGAACTTCGTGTTGGTCGTGCTTGCTCATGCTCCTCTGCTAGTTGTTTGTACACATCCAGAAGGAAGCTCGGTGCCGAGCGATCCAAAGGAGGAGAGCCACTTCTACGCGGTCTCTCACCAAGCCCTAAGAGGTCTAAAATTTCGTGTTCTACTAAAAGTTTCTCATGGTGTGTCATTGAATGATGTATTACCGTCTGATCAACTCCATTATCGATGTATAACCCCGAAAGCACGGCCTCAGTCGTCACAATAAACAATAATAAAGTCACACACCGCCACGCTGTCTTAGGGTCAGACATGTTCACAGTTCGCGTAATACTGGAACGTACGCTCGCAAAGCGTCCACTCGGCTAACGATAAAGTATAATCAACGTGAACGAGTCGATCGCAGAGTCGTACGAGACCGACCACAGCCACTGAACCTGCCCACTCAAGGTGGGCCGGCGTCCGCCGCACTCTTCGCAGCTTCCCCTCCCTCGCCGTCGCCACTCATCGTCTCAATAATGTAAACATTGAAGTCGCAACAACCGCGTTCGGCGCATTTGCATGCGTAAGATTAAAATACTGATAGATGTCGAGTAACAAAGGAATAAAATTAGTTTCACTGGTATCGATTAATAAGAAAACACAAATTCAGCAGTATCATAATTTGGCTCATACCTAAAGAATAAAATCATAAGTTGTTGAACAACAATATATGTTTACTTAAGCATTATATTTATGGATAAATGTTTCCTTGACCTGCTGCAAGTATTTTGTTTTTTTTTTTATAGGATAGGGTGACAAACGAGCACACAGTCCACCTGATGGTAAGTGGTTGCTGTGGCCCATAGACATCTACATCTATCCTCGATTACGAATCAAAATGCAGATGCGCTGTCACCCGTGAGGACAAAGATGGAATGCCTCGTTTCCAGTAAAAAGGGTCTCCGGTTCTCTGCACTCACCATACGAAATACAGCAGCATTAAGCTACTATTTCACGCTGGTATTCTGTGAGAGCGTGGTCCTTCCCCGGTCGAGCCGACCCATTCGTGCTACAACTATACTACTAATATAACTGCAGCATGGCTCTACCACGTATTTATTTGTGTTTACCGATGAGAACATGATCGACTAAGTCAGTCGACATAATATAAAAGACTTTACGTTGTGTATGCTTTAATTGTTTAATTGAACAATATGTGGGCGAGGGAAACTACCTATTATAGTAGTACCCATCCATATTAATTATGAACGTCAACGAACTTTATAAAAGCAGGAAAATTAATTAAAACTAGAGAATTTAACACTTCTAGAGAATTTACCACAATTTATAGTTTATAGATTACACTTAGCGAAAGTAGGTACTAGTTCTCTAAGCCCAATGCTGGGTTCCTATTTGAAAGCCAATCGCGAACTTTGCGAGACATATGTATTTAAATATTTTTGGGCGCCAAAAAAATTTTCCACAACTGGACGCGCTAATGGCCAAAGCAGCGCCATTCGAGCCTGGAGAAAAACAATTGCGGACCGTATCGCAAGAAAGACAAGGGCTCTCATCGGCAGACTGATAAGCTTCAGGTCGAACAATAATAGGCCAAGGGTTGTGCGCACCGTTATGGCCGGGAAACACTAACGAGAAATGCCGTTAATTATCGCGTTGATGGACGTTGAATGTAGGTGTCGCCACGACAATGCCGTTTTCCGTTTGGCGATTACTCGAGTGGCGGTACATCAAAAGATTAACGCACGAATTATGCGTTGAAGCGGCCACACTACGTTTGTCTCATTGTGCACGATGAGCGCGACGAGGTCGCACGAATGGCTACGATAAAGCGGAATAATAAAAAAGTTGTTAGGTTTCTTGAGATTCTGTAAATAGAGCCATGTTTATGAGATCCGAGACTCAAAAGTTTTAAGATTCTTACATCGCAAGACGATGCTTTGCTACGAATTATGCAATTATAAACCTTTAAAACAACTATCGAATAAATTAAAAAGAAGAAGGAAAGCCTGGTGGGTTTTTATAGATCCCATTTAAACAAATATAAAAATTCTTCAAATTCAAATTCAAGTTGTTTATTGCATGTCACATTACAAATTTAACACGGTACAATATATATATATATATATATATATATATATATATATATATATATATATATATATATATATATATATATAATCTAATTTATGAACATAAATTACAAATTATCATCAATATTCAATATTATTTTATATAAATTAATTGAAGTACAATGTACCTAGTCGAAGTATTCTTACTTTTTCGTTATTTATCGTCAAAAAGTTCATTTAAAGGTGAGTAGGAACATTAACGCCAACTTTAACGCCGTTCAACGGCATTGAAATTGAAACGACGTTGACCGTTCAAGTGTAGCCACTTACTTTATCGCGTTAAATTTAAGGCAATAATTGTTGCGTTTATTGGCATTGACGTTTCTCGTTAGTGTATCCGCAGCATTAGAATGGCATTAGCGCTGCCGAAATAAAATATCTGGGCCTGACTCATAAGGTAACAGATATGTAGTGTAGTTTTTTTTTTTATAGAAGAGGGCGCAAACAAGCGTGCGGCTCACCTGATGTTAAGTGACTACCACCGCCCATGATCAACCGCAACACCAGGGGAATTGCAGGTGCGTTGCCGGCCCTTTAGAAAGGAGTAAGCTCTTTTCTTGAAGGTCCCCAGGTCGTATCGGTCCGGAAAAATCGCCGGTGGTAAACTATTCCACAGGATTGTACGCGGAAGAAAACTCGTTTTGAAACGTACAGTGGTGCACCGCCAAGCATCCAGATGATGTGGATGGTATCGGGACGTTTGCCGCGTAGTGTGTTTACGAAATTTGGCGGCTGGGATTAATCCGAACAATTCCTCAGAGCACTCTCCATGGTATATGTGAAAGAAAATGCAAAGAGATGCAACATCTCTTCGCAGTGCCAGTGAATCGAGCCGATCGGAAAGCACTCGGTCGTCGATCTTGATATGCGATGATACTCGATCTTGACATAAGTTATTCCAAGAAAAAAGTACTGCTTTATAGTATAGCACGTGTAATTTTACACCATGGCATGCAACGCCGTCTTAGGCTATACCGGAGCCCTTGGGCACACAAGAATTTGGGGCCCTGTTGGAAATTAAAAAAAAGTTAATGACAAAAACATTTTTCCGCTATGATCTTATATCTATTATAGTAAATTGGTAAAAATCAAATAATGTGTTAATAATAAGGACATCCCCATTTTTTCTGCCACCAGGGCGGCGCTACTTTACAATGAGGTAAAATATTTGACAGATTTTATAGCAGGGACGATAATTTCTTAGGAAAATGTAAACTTTAATGTTTCTTTCTGTATCATTAGTTATATTTTATATTAATTAGATAAGAAATGAATAAGCCAAACTATAAATATAACTAAAAGTTGAAAAATTAAAAAAAAAAGAGTTATAGAATGCAAAAAATTAAAAACCAAACCACTGACGCATTGTGTAGTGTATTAATATAATATTCTAGACTCTAGATAATCATAAACTATTATTTAAAACTAATTTCTCAATTAACTTACATTGTGTAACAAAAAACTTTACCTCAGTTACAACTAGCGACATCTGGTGAGCGGAAGATTATAATCTCTCATTTGATTGGATTAGATTGTTGGTGGTTTAAATTGGTTACCATTACTATTATTTTCTTTTTGCCTTGGCATATGGTCTGACACAACTGGTTACTTCGCCTACGCGGATTCCAGATGTGGAGGATCATGCACCTTCCCTGTTGGACCTTCTGTTGACCTCTCACCTGGACGGATATCAGATTTCCGTCGACGCCCCTTTAGGTTCTTCGGACCATTATCTTGTCCGGAGTGTGATGCCACTCACACTGAAATCGCAGTTGCATTCTGCAGGCTGCCGCCGTGTTCGGAACTATAGGTCAGCCGATTGGGATGGGATGCGGTCTTTCTTTGCATCCTATCCTTGGGGGCGGGTATGCTTGTCGCCGGTGGTTACCATTACTATTATTTTATTTTGCCTTGGCATATGGTCTGACACAACTGGTTACTTCGCCTAAGCGGATTCCAGATGTGGAGGATCATGCACCTTCCCTGTTGGACCTTCTGTTGACCTCTCACCCGGACGGATATCAGATTTCCGTCGACGCCCCTTTAGGCTCCTCGGACCATTATCTTGTCCGGAGTGTGGTGCCACTCACGCTGAAATCGCAGTTGCATGTTGCATTCTGCAGGCTGCCGCCGTGTTCGGAACTATAGGTCAGCCGATTGGGATGGGATGCGGTCTTTCTTTGCATCCTATCCTTGGGGGCGGGTATGCTTGTCGCCGGACGACCCCAACGTTGTTGCGGATTCTGTCGCTGATGTGGTACTTCAGGGTATGGAACTTTTTATTCCTTCCTCTGTGGTGCCCATTGGAGGCAAATCTCAGCCATGGTTTGGTCGCTCCTGTAAAATAGCATCATGCTATAAGCAGGAGTGCTACCAAGCCTGGGCTGACGCATCAACGCCCCGGGATGTAAACACCAGCGCTCTAAAAAAGAAGTACAATTCCGCCTCTAGGTTCCTCAAAAGAGTCATTGCCAAGGCAAAGTCAGAGCACATAGGCAGAATTGGCGAGAAACTAGTTCGCCTTCCGTCTGGAACCCGTGCATTCTGGTCTCTCGCCAAGGCTGTCCAGGGGAATTTCTATCAGCCATCTCTTCCATCTCTGCACAGGGAGGACGACTCACTGGCCCATGCCGCAAAGGAGAAAGCCGATCTGCTGGGCTCTTTCTTTGAGTCCAACTCGACTCTGGATGACGGGGGGAGTACGCTGCCGACCATCCCGCGGTGTGATTGCTCCATGCCGGAAGTGCAGTTTATACAGCGCTCGGTTCGCAAAGCACTCCTCTCCCTGGACATCCACAAGCCGAGTGGGCCTGATGAAATCACTCCAATTGTGCTGAGGATGTGTGCTTCAGAGTTGGCACCGGTTTTAACGCGTCTTTTCGGTACTCCTACTCCCTAGGCGTAGTCCCAAAATCATGGAAGACGGCTTTCGTCCACCCGATCCCTAAAAAAGGCGACCGCTCAGACCCGTCCAACTACCGGCCTATCGCCATCACCTCCTTGTTCTCCAAAACAATGGAGTCTATTGTTAACTGCCAGCTCACGAGGTACCTTGAGGATCACCATTACACTCATTAGTGATCGTCAATGCGGTTTTCGCCGTGGTCGGTCAGCTGGTGATCTTCTGGTCTACATAACTAACAGATGGGCGGAGGCAGTAGAGTCCAAGGTGGAGGCATTGG